TTCTTATATTCTCTTGTCTACCCAAAACATCATTGATAATGTCATAATTGAAACCACTACATGAAAGTTGTAGGAAATTGTCTCAGCTTTTCAGGAAAAAAATGGAGGTCATTTGGACTTCTAGAACTCCATATATGGGCCAAACACTAAACAATTTCGGGCTACAGGACAGATTTAGACTTCTTTATTGTTGCTACAATTTGGACTTGAAAATGACCTTTTTTAAATCTTAGGTATGAAAGTTATAGGCCTATGTCTTATCTTTTCATCCATATAAAGTAGACTTAAATTCAAGAACTACAGCTCTAGATATGACCCAATTACCAAACAATGTTCTAATTTAGACTATACTAGCATCTCTTTTCTAAGTTTGACCATCTCTTTATCCGTTTAATTTCAGCAAAGGTTATTAACACAATCAAATTTTACAAAATAATATCAATTAGAGAATAACATATGAGCTCTTCATCCGAAAAATATAAGTATTCAAGAGTTTTATTCTGTTATAACAAATCTTTAAGATCAATTGGCTCTTATAGAATCGGTAAAATTAAAGGCAAGTGGTGCCTATATTAAGCGTAGAGAGTAGCAATGATTGGTATAGTTTTTAACAGCACTTTGCAATGATTTCGAAGGATTTAAAAGTTTAATTTTACAGTCAATGAGTTATTGGCTGAAGAAATATGTCTTCAGTCTTATTCTAAAAAAAGAACTCTTTCTACTTCAAATCCTTTGATACTAGCAGTACCTTCTAAGCCATTATCTAATCATCAAAACAAGTCTTACATAAGGGTTAACTTTGATAAGTGTAGTTTTTGTGAGCAGAAAGGTTATTGAAAGACTTAGTGTCCTAAGTTGAGACATCAGAATCAAACTTGGAAGCCTAGCAGGTAGTCACAATCTAATGCTCATAGACCACCTCAAGGTTATAAACCACCACCCCATAATACTACAGTAGTAGCTTCTCCAGGCTCTATTACTGATCACAATACTTTGACTGAGTAATTTCAGAAATTTCTCTCCATACAACCACAAGCAATGTCTGCTTCCTTTTCTATAAGTCAGTTGCCTCATAGTTCCTCAGTGGTATCAAAGCTCTAGGAAATTTGAAAACTTATGACATTTCTAATTGTAGTAGATGTAAATTGACAAAATTTTCCGCTTTACCTTTTAATTGAAGTATTTATGTTTCTTCTACAAAAGGTATTTATGTTTCTTCTACACCATTTGATTTGATTCATTCTTATGTATGGGGACCTTCTCCTATTTTCATAAAAGAAGGGTCTTGATATTATGTCTCTTTTATTAATGAGTTATTATTGGGTTTATTTAATGAAACATCGTTATGAATTCTTTGAGATATATATAGCTTTTCGAACTCTTATTAAAACTCAATATTCTACTGTGATCAAATGTTTTAGATGTGATTTGGGTGAGGAATACACATCTAATAAATTTTATCAATTGATTGCCTTAGATGGAACCATCCACTAAACTTCATGTACAAATACTACTGAGCAAAATGGTATTGCTGAAAGAAAACATAGGCACATTATTGAAACTACTTATTCTCTCTTGTTGTCTGCTTTTATTCCTAGTGAGTTTTAGAAAGAAGTTGTTCTTACTGATATAAGTTCGATTAATATAATTTTATCTTCTCATAATTCGAGTCTATTTCCTTTTGAAAAGTTATATGGGTATGTCCCTGATTATTCATGATTTTATCTTCTCATAATTCGAGTCTATCTCCTTTTGAAAAGTTATATGGGTATGTCCCTGATTATTCATCATTTAGAGTCTTTAGTTATACTTGTTTCATTCTTCATCCTCATGTGGAACACAGTAAGATATCCTCTCGATCAGCTATTTATGTCTTTCTGAGTTATGGTGAAGGTAAAAAGGGATATCATTATTTTGATCCAATAACTCATAAACTTTATGTGTCTCGTCATGTTGTATTCTTTGAGCATATGTTTTTCTTTTCTATTCCATCCACTACTAATAGCCTGACTAAAACTTATCTTATTCATATAGATCCCTTTTTTAAGGATTCTAGTAATGATACCTCTCCTCATGTTCGATCAATTTGTACTCATAACTCTGCAAGTACTGATACTTTACTCTCTAGCATACCTGAAACTCCATTCTCATCTATTTCCCCTCAAGCTTCATCTAAGATTATGGATTCACCTTCACGTCAGTCCATTCGTATTCATAAGTCTACAAAACTACCAGATTTTATTTATTCTTATTATTCTTCATTGTTTACTTCCTTTTTAGCTTTTATTTATTGTCTTTTTAATCCATCTTCCTATAAAGAGGCAATTCTTGATCCATTTTGGCAGCAAGCTATGGATGAGGAACTTTCTGCTTTGCATAAGATAGATACTTGGGATCTGGTTCCTCCACTTCTTGGTAAGAGTGTTGTTGGTTGTCGTTGGGTGTATAAGATCAAGACCAATTCTGATAGGTCTATTGAGCGATACAAAGCTAGGTTGGTTGCAAAAGAATACTCTTAATAGTATGGTATGGACTATGAGGAGACATTTGCCTCGGTTGCAAAAATAACTACTATTGTACTCTTATTGTCATAGCTTTGATTCGTTAGTGGCATATTTCTCAGCTTGATGTTAAAAATGCCTTCTTAAATGAAGATCTTCAAGAAGAAGTTTATATGGCACTCCCTTCTGGTATTTCACATGACTCTGAATATGTTTGTAAGTTTAATAAAGTATTATATGGTTGACACGATCAAAGAGTTGATGTCTTATCCCAAGTGC